TTTTTCCTTTTTTTTAAATTTTTTTTAAAAAAAAAAAAAAAAAAAATTATTTTAAAAAAAAGATAATCATAGTATAACAGATAAAAAAAAAAAAAAAAATTATCTATTATAATGATTATTTAATTTTTAACATAAATCGTAGTAATATTCTAAATCGATTAATTTATTAAAATTTAAATAATATTAATTATCAAATTTTGAATGAATTGAAAACTTTTAAATGTTATTTAAAAAAAAAAAAATTTCTTTCCTCTACTATATATTTAATAATTTCACTTTTTTTTTTTAAAAAAAAATTTCTTCCTCAAAAAATCAATATTTTATTTCTCTTTTCTTTTTTTTTTTTTTTTTTTTTTTTACTATTTATACTATTTTAAAAACAAATTTAAAAATTGGACGGAAATTATCATTGCAGTTGAATAAACAACTGAATTGGAAAGAAAGATTAGATGAAAAAAAAAAAAATAGAAAATAAAATAAAATAAAAAGTAAGAAATAAGAATAAAAAAAAAAAAAAAAATGAAAATGAAGAAAAATAATTGGATGGAAATAAAAAAAAAAAAAATTTTTTTTAAGTTGAAAGAATATTTTGTGTAAATGAGATGAAAAATATTTTGTGAAGAAGAAGAAAAAAAAAAAAAAAATCTTTTTTCCTTTTTTAAAAATAAAAAAAAGAAAGAAAAAATAATTTTTGTTTTTTTCATTTTAATTTATTTTTTTTTTCTTTTTTTGTTTCACATAAATATTTTTTTTTTTTTTTAGCGTAAATATTATCGCTAATCTATTTGCTATAGCATTTATTTTTTTTAAAGCAGATAAGAATGAAAATTATTTTTCATTATACTTACTAATCTTTTATATTGTCATCAATTTAAATGAAAAAAAAAAAAATGAAAAAAGAAAAAGAGAAAAGTTATTAATTTTATTATATTTAATAAATTTAAAATTATCTTTATATAATAAATATAAAATTATTTTTATATAATAAATATAAAATTATTTATAATTTATTAAATGAAAAAATGAAAAAGGAAAAGAGAGAAAAGCTATTATTATTATTATATTTAGTTAATTTAAAATTATTTATGCATAATAAATATAAAATTATTATTGGATAATAAATATAAAATTATTTATAACATATAAAATTTATATTAAATGAAAAAAAAAAAAAAAACGAAAAAAGAAAGAGAGAAAAGTTATTATTTTTATTATATTTAGTTAATTTAAAATTATCCTTGTATAATAAATATAAAATTATTTTTCAATAATAAAAACAAAATTATTTATAATATATTTAATGAAAAACAAAGAAAAAAGAGAGAAAAGTTATTATTATTATTATATTTAATAAATGTAAAATTATTTCTGTATAATAAATATAAAATGTTTAATAATATATTAATTAATTTTGCATCAGAAAATATTGCTAATAGAATAAACAATTTTTCAAAAAATTTTTTTTTTAATACATTATATTTGTACAATTCTTGTATCTTTTAAACAAAAATATTTCATTTTATCATCAATTTTTTTTAAAAAAAATAAAATAAATGTTTTTAAACAATTAATTTTCATTTGAAGTGTTTAGTTGCTTAACAATTTAATTAAATAATTGCTAATTTTAATTAATTTAATCGATAACTTATATCAAAAGTAATACATAACATTCAATTTAATATTTAGAGAAATGAAAAAAAAAAAAAAAACAATAACAAATTTCTATTTTGCATATTTATATTGTTTGATAATAATGATAATAATGATTTATAGTGATTTGCAAATGCAAATTAATTATAATTATTTTGATTGTTAGCTTATTAGATACATCTAATTGATAATTTAAAAATGATCAATTGTTAGCTTCCATATTAAAAATGCAATTTAAATGGCTAAATTTTGAATAGAAAAAATAAATACAAACTAATTTTTCATTGATCATTAAAGTAAATTAAAAATTCTCATTGTTATAATTAATCATATATGCAAATTAATAAATAAATAAATAAATAAACACAATCATGCAACATAAATGATAAGAAAATAAAACTTTTGTATTGAAATTTTTTTTTTTCTCTCTTTTTTTAAAACAAAAATTTAAATAGGAAGAATAATAAATAAAAGAAGTTAGAAATTAGAAGAAGAAAAAATTTGCATACAATTTGCATACAGGAAATTAATTTACTAAATTAACTGAAGAAAAATATTACAATAATGTATTTATTTAAAAAATACATTCTCTAAATATGATAATAATTGAATTTCATTAAAAAAAAAAAAAAAAAAGAAAGTAAAAATAAAAATGGAAAAAAATTTTTTGCTTTATAACAATTTCTCATTTCCATTATTATTATTATTATCACCATTACTAATCTTTAATGATTTCATTTTATATCAACAATTAGCTATTAATTTTTTCTATTCATTTTGCATTAATAACTTATCAGTTTGTATTTTAGTCTCATAATAATAAATTGTCAATTTCATTCTTGCATATTATATGAAATTTAATAATTAGAAATTAACAATTTGCCTCCTTCATTATACAATCAATTTTCATTCCAATAATATCATTATAATTTATTTTATCGACATTTTAGAAATTATTTATTACTTTTTTTTTATCTATTGTGCACATAATTTCGATAATATTTGCATTAAGTTCGTAAAAAAAAAAAAAAAAAAAAAGAAAACTTTATCATTCTAAATTTCATCTCTAATCTAAAAGAATAATCTTACATTTCATCTTGCAATTACTAGATAGCTCTGGAAAAAAAGTTTGAAAATTTTTTAGCTATAAAATTTAATTTAATTGCATCGTAGTAGATGATTATTAATTCTTAAATTGATTCATTTAATCGTCTAGTAGCTGATTGTTAGGTTTTAGTGATTTAATTAATTCAAGTGTTTTTTTTTTTTTTTGCTATGATTTTCAATCTTTCAGAATATTCTTTTTTTCCTTTTTTTTTTTTTTATTTTAACAATTATCAATTTTAACAGTTGTTATTGAAATCGATAAAGGCTTGATGATATCAAATGTTATTAGTAAAGAGACTAATTATGTTAGTAAATAATCGATTATAATTTAAGATAATCAATTTACTCAGATACGAATTTACATCAATTCTAGTTTAATTACACAATTTAACGTATGCTAAGCTATTTTAAGTATTAATTCGATTCTGTACGCAACAACGACAACAAAAAAAAAAACATAAACATATAATGAAGAAATATTTTTATTACTGCAGCAAACGAATGTTTGAAATTATAAAATAAATGTAAAAAAAAAATAGCTATGTGTCATCCTTTTAAGTACTAGAAAATTAAAATAATAGCAAGATTTGGAACATTAATAAACAAATGAAAATGAATAGAAAAAAAAAAAATGCTTCCTTCAAATTTTTATATAAAAATTTATCAGTTATCTATTAATTTTAAAAGCTATTTTTGAATAATAATAATAATAATACCAAAAAGTTCAACATTTTAGTGAATTATAACAGGTGAATTTTCTAAAAATGCAAATTAACATTAATCAATTCTAAAGGAATAATTAATTCAGCATCTTTAACTCTAATTCAAACAATAGCCGTACCATACTGAATTTATAACACTAAATTGTGTACAGCATAAATGTAGAATGGAAAGTTAAATTTTAAAAGTTACAATATATCATCTCTCTACACTTTGAATAATTCCACTTAATTTGAAGTTCCTTCCTCTTTCCTATGCTTTTTAAATTTGACAATTGATGAATAACTTTAACCAAGATAATACTCAAACTAAAATGCCATTGTTGCTATTTGCTGCATTTAGATCATTTATGTTTAGCTAAAATGAACAATAAAATTTTGTTCTACTATCATTTCAAAACAAAAATAATGAAAAAATGAATATGCACAGACAAAAAAAAAAATTTGCCAATATACTCAAAAATTTTTTGCTCTTATCAAACTCCTTATATAAAAAAAAAAAAAAAAAAATCTAAAATTAATTCATTTCATTTTTATATAACCAAAAAAATTAACCAAATCATCAATTTTACTAGAAAAATATGAAATATATTACTCTTTTCATTATCTTTGTCTAATTTTATCAGCTGAAAAGTCTCTCTCTCTCTCTCTCTCTCTCTCTCTCTCTCTCTCTCTCTCTCTCTCTCTCTCTCTCTCTCTCTATTTCTCACTAACATTATCAAAATGAATGAAAGAATGAGCAAATGAAAAAAACATTAGTTAGTTATAAAGCTATAATAATCATAATTCACTCATTCTTCCTAATGGAATGAGAAGAAAGAAAATATTTTATAATCAAATACCTTCATTTTTGCATAAGTAAGTATTTAAAAAGTGAGGAAACAAACATTGAAATGAACAAAAATAAGGAAAAAAGATAAAAGAAAAAAAAATAAAATAAAATAAAATAATAACGAAATGTTAATGTGTGTAAGTCTATAAATGCTAGAAATTTAATGAGGAAAATGTAGCACTAAAAGAGAAACTTCATCAGCATAAAGTTTAACTTTCAGATATCTTTTAAAAGTGGTACAATACTAGGAATACACTAGGAAGCAATAATCAAATTAATGAAAACATTTTCTCGGAAGCATCATTTAAATCAAAAAAAAAAAACAGCATAATTCAAGCCAAATAAAGTCAAACATAAAACACTTTCACTATTTATTATCATCCACTTCTCGTTCGTTTTAGCATCATGAAATTATCTCGAAAGAACTATTTGGTCTCTAGGGTATCAATTTGGAACTTGACTAGAGTACACACTGTATGCATTCCAGACAAAGTCACCGATTTTTAGAATCCATAAAAATCATATCAATAGCTAAGAATTAATGTACTTCTTTCCCTTCCCACCACTGCCTGATGTAAGAAATAGAAAAATAACAAAATTCTTCTTCTCATCATAATAAAATATTGCTTTTTACAATTTCCAACACAAAAAATTGATTGATTTAAAAAATTCAAATAAGTAATAGCAATTTCTTACGAGTTACCATTATCATCTATCAACTCGACAACCATCACATTATCAGTTCGTTTACGAAGAAATTTCAATTTGAAAAACGGTTTTTCACATGAAACAGCATTCATAAAATGTAATAGGCTATTATCCGTGTAAATATTCAAGCCTGTATTGATATTATCCACATTTACCAGTAAGCATGGAATTCCCATAGCAGGATGCTTTTTTGTTATTTCAGGCTGAAATTTCAAAATGATTTCCTGACTAAAAAAAAAAAACCATGAAAATATGTAACATTAATTTAAGTAACAGAATAAAATTGTTCAAATCGCATTAGTTTTTTTTTTATTAAAAAATTATTTATTTTGTGGATGAAAATAGTGAATATGGGAAAAAGAAAATTTGCTGAAATGCAAAATACTAAATATTCTAATGCATTATTTTACAAATATTATAGTGATAGATACCAAATCATCGATTGAATGAAGATCATTATAAGTAACCCTCTCATAATTACCATAATCAATATAATGCACTTCTACATTCGTATCGTATATTGCTGTAATTACTGCACGAAACATTGCTTGAAATGCATGACAATATGAAACGCAAAGAGTTCCAAGTTTCTGAAATAATTAAAATTTGACAGACAAACGGAAACACATAAACATTTTGTTTAAAATGAATAATAAAACAAAAGTATTACAAAGTTTCATCATTTATAGATCGTATTCATTATGTCTACTATGTCATCTATATATCTATCATCAATCTGGAAATGGATCTTCACTGAAAAAAAAAAAAAGATAAAGTTTTCAAAATAAATCACATTGTCAGCAATACAGTAGTGGATATGGTTAATACGTTGTAATTTATAATAATTTATAAAAGTACCTTTTGTAATAATTTATAAAAAGTTTTTTTAAAAAAAAAAAAATATTTAAAAAATAACGAACGATATCTTTTCTTGGTAATGGTTCAACAGCTGTCAAACAATCCAAATACTGATCAATAATATCCAATAGCTTATCTTCCTGAATTTGCACAAAGAATAGTGGCCAATTTTGATTTGACCAATCATCATCGCTTCTTTTTACAGTATATACTGCCTGTTCAACCACTTCTATATATGGCACATAGGACTGTAAAAATAGAGTAATTTACCAAAAGCATCATTATCATGCCTATTCTATGAGTTATACACTTTAACAGCAGTAAAACAGAGAAATCAATGAGATTAGTTTATAAAGATTTTTTTTTTTCTGATCTTACTTACCAGACTATACAACTTCGAAATGACCAAAGACATTTTGGTGGCCATCAAGTAATTGAATCTCACTTCTTTTCCTACCTCATTTTATCTCTTAGTAGTCTTCTAACAACACAATTTATTTTATTTATTTATTTTTTTTTCATTTAATTATATGAAGCTGTGGTATGAAACAGATTGCGAGCCGAAATTCTAGCTAGAAAAACCCTGATGGCAAAGCAAACGATTTGTAATAATAAGTCTATATGGAATAATAATAAGTCTATATGAATTCGAGCTCTACAACTTCAAATCTCGATATCTGACTATATTACAACAATTATAGTATCACTTTATATTAATAGCATTAACAACAAGAATTTTATTAATAACAATAATGTAGGTAAAAAGAAAGCTTTAAGTGATAACCATTAATATAATTGTTATAATGCTATTAATGTTATAATGCTATTAATGCTACTAATGAATTTATGATTATAGCTAATGCTGTGACATTTCCTTCCTACCATCTCTATCATCAGAAACGAAGTCAAAAGATAAAATAAAATAATGGGAAAAAGATTCATAAAAATATTACTTAGTAGAAAACTCACCTCATATTTTAGGGATTTAATCAAATAGTGGTCACTGAATTTAAACGCTGACAAATCATCCGCCTTAAGGTTGGCCACGTTTTGATTATCTTCATCCTGAAATCAACATTTTCATTGCAACTAAATAACAAAACAGTTAGCACATGCTAGAAAAACTAAAAAAAACCAGTAATCTGGTAATGGCAGATAATTTGTATTTGGTATACTTTGCAACAATTTCCTGAAAAACTCTCGAAAATATCAACTGCTAAGCTATTTTATTAATTCATTGCATCAAAATGTTGTCATGTTCCATTTATAAGCATTCTACTTTTTGCTGAAATATCTTATCTCAGTAATAACCAAAGATAGTACTTTATAATTTAGAGAAAAAAGATTGGGAATGTAAAAAGATGATTTAAAAAAGAATTCAAAAGAGATAACTATGGTCAACATGCAACTGTGTATTAATAACGCAAATGCACGAAGATCAAACAATATATCCTAATTAATGAGCTTAATTAGGACTAGTAAGACTCATCTCACTTCTTACCTCATCTAAAGCACCACATATTGTAGCATTTCTAAAATTCGAAATTGCTGGTGCGCACTGCGACATTATTGGTGCGCACTGCGATGCTGCTGGTGCATACTGCGACAGTATTGGTGCACACTGCGATACTGTTGGTGCACACTGCGATATCATTGGTGCGCATTGTGATACTGTTGGTGCACACTGCGACATTATTGGTGCGCACTGCGATATTATTGGTGCGCACTGCGATGCTGCTGGTGCATACTGCGACAGTATTGGTGCACACAGCGATACTGTTGGTGCACACTGCGATACTGTTGGTGCACACTGCGATACTGTTGGTGCACACTGCGACATTATTGGTGCGCACTGCGATACTGTTGGTGCACACTGCGACATTATTGGTGCACACTGCGACATTATTGGTGCGCACTGCGATACTGCTGGTGCACACTGCGATATCACTGGTGCGCATTGCGATATTACTGGTACGCAATGCGAGATTGCTGGTGCATACTGTCGTTCTGTTTCTTGCATCAGATAACCATTTCTATCACGTGAACGATGTATGTATAATGCTTTCTGTAAAAAAAACTACAACTTTTCTATATCAATTAAACATTCAAGAACATCTCAAAATAATACTTACAACTCTTTGTAATTTTTCTACCACAGAATTAAATTCAAAGCAAAAATATTTCAATTTCAAACTTTTTCTATTAAGAGTTATAACAAAAAATACTGAGAATCGGTCAGATTCGATCAGATACTTTATTTATGATTAAACCTTTCCTATAAGTTTAGGACCAGAGTTTATTCTAAACAAAAATTTCTGAATAAGACCTCTTGCATATCATAAAGTGAAATAGGTTCTGGTGAAAAATATCCAGCGCCATTAGAATTTAATCGATCACCCTTTTCTGATTTTTTTTCAATATGTTGGATAGCGTATCCTCTGCCCGCTAAATCTAAAAAAGAAAAGTGAACGAAATAATTCATACAGTTTCTTCCTTTTATTTGTTTCAAAAATTGCATGATTTAAGAGATAAGGGAATGTTTGATCAATATTACGGAATATTTGATTGATTCTCCCATAATTGATTTTCTAATTCATTTACTATTTGATAAAATGTGTTGAATTGATGTCATACAGAAATTTTTTTTTTTGATCCTAAAAATTGCTTTAAAAAAAAAAAACTGCCTAATATAATGTGAAATAAACCTCCAGCATTTTTTAAATGAATCATTCTATACAAACAGTAATAAATGCATGTGATAAACATTGTTTATATCATATAAAGTTTTCAATTCTTCAACAGATATCCTTTCCTATAGTTCAAATGCTTGATAATTTTATAAAAAAAAAAAATGCATCTCTTGTTAACGTGAAAAAACCAATGAAGAAACCATTTGTAAACTCATGTTGTTGTTTTGTTGATGTCTGCTGTTGTATACCAGTTGATGTTTTCAAGCCAGTCATACTGTAGTACTCGTTCAGAACATAAGTCGGTGGTTGACCATACTGTGTTTTGCGTGACAGAGTCTGCTTTGGCTTCGGCTTATATTCTGCATAACATTACAGTGTAACTAAATAGCTCTGATGGTGATGCAATTCTACAGGTTGTGTTTTTCTGTTTCCTAAATAAAAGTGACAACTGGCTGAACTAATATTTTTTTTTTTTTAATCATCGATAGAAACAACATCAAAATTAGACTGATTGTGGATGAGAATAGAAAGAAAAAAGGTAAAAAATGTCAGAGAGCAAAAACAAGAGTAGCTGATTCAATCATTAAATTTCAACAAACAGAATGATAAGAAATGAAACCGCAGCAAAACAAATGTTTCATTTTAGTTCTTCTGCTACTTCAAATAGTTCATTTCGATTTAAAAAAGATTTAATCTATCTTCGACTCAATCTTACTAGTTAAAGCAATACAGATATACCTTGTTGCTGAAAGTTATTGTTTAAATCCCCATTAACCATTGCTGATATTTCGCTATCGCTAGGTCGAAAATGGCAAATTCCTGCATTCTGCTAAAATGGGAAAAATAAAAAGTAGATCTCAACATGGACAAAAGAAAAAGTTGATTAGGATAAAGGAAAAGAGGAAAAATAAAACAACTCAGAACCGAAGCCAAAGTTGAGGTGGGCGATGATGGTTGTGTGCTTTCTCGAGTATTCAATGGTACTGAATGATTAAATGTTTCAAAAAAATCGCCAGCATTAGGATACATTGAACAGGGATTCATTATTTGAGTCGTAGCACGAGTATGCATATTCCTTTCATGTTGATTTGGATATCTGAAAAAAAAAAAATACAAGTGGCGCTTCCTTGTTGGTTTTGATTGACTAATATTTTCCTAAATTTCCTATTCTAACCCAAGCAAATTTCCAAAATCCATAGAAAATCCAGACTTATCCGCATCATTAATTGATCTTATAATATATTGTCTATTCTTACATTCATAATTTAGCTAAAATTACTAGTGTTAAATGCCAGATAAGGCTTGGTTATATCATTTCTTAATAAAAAAAAAAAAAAAAAAAGAAAAAATTCTGCTCATAAAGGTTCATAAAATAAGCTAACACTGGAGGTAGTTGCTGAACTGCCACTGGATTAAACGATAAATTGTTCGGTAAAGTAGCACATAGTGACGGATTTATTGTTCCAGCCTGTGCCCAGTCCTGACATACAGGGAATGAAGAGTATGGATTCCAATTACTCGTATTAGGATTTAAGCCATTTTCAGTTTGTACTGGTAAAGATGTGAGATTCGGAAATGAATTGCAGGTATTCTGGAATAAAAAGTACAGTTTTTTTTTTAACGATAGATTTCGGAAACATTAGAATACCAGGAATACTTGGAAGAAAAAACAAAACAAGCTTTACAGAAACAAAAAAAAAAAAAAAAGACACAACAAAAATATCTTGATAGTCACTGCTTTCTTAACTGTTAATGAAAAAATAATAGGGATATAAAAGGTAAGTGTTGAGCAAAAATTTAGAGTAGATGCTGATAAAATAACATGCTGGAAAGAACTGTTTCTTCGAAAGGATATTATCAGTATATAAAGGAGACAAATTACAAAAAGTGGTAACTTACAGCTGAGGCAGGAGCAAAAGGCATCGATATTGTGTTCAATCTTTTCAAAACGGTAGCAAATTGCAACTGCAGAGTTTGTAATGTCCAATCTTGCTCAAATTTTGATCTAAAAATGTTTCGTTCATCAACGTTACTTGATATCTTAGCGAAATACCTTGATGTCAATAACTGATATCATAGGTATAAACAGCCATGTATATTTTGGTATTTATCATATAAGATGGAACGTATACTATTTGTTCAATCATTAATGACTGACTTTTAGAAAGAATAATCAAGATGAACGGATCAATTAGCACTAATAACTCTTTGAGCACGTTGTCATTTCCATTAATGATCTAATTCTAATGAGTGCATGACGTAGTGATAGAAACAAGCTTATCTAGTTATAAAGTCTTGAACGCCTGTAGCAAAATACAACTATGAAACAGTGAAAGCATGTGTCTAACAGAGCGAAGCAATGATAATTTCAGAATTAAGAATAAAAATTAAAAAATTGAAAAGAAATACTTTCTCATCTCAAGCAATTCCCTTTCAATTTGTAGTCTCTCGTTTTTTTCGCGCAATTTTTCTTCTGAAATTTTGATCGATTGTTCAATCGACGGTATAGTCATATCGTCAATCTCATCACAATAGATATCATCCATATTTGTAGCAGCATGAGTTTTTTGTGTTGCCAAAGGTTGTGTTCCTTGCACAACTTTCCCCCAATAAATGCCATCATCAGCAAATGTTGTTATGCATACAACGTATTCCTTATCGACTTCCAGCTTAAATTATGCCAAAAAATCGAATGATACACAATAATATTTTTCCATAATTGAAACTTATCGGTTAATATAACTCTAAAAAAAGAAACTGACATTTTGCAAACTTTGACTTTGTTCTTTTATGATCCCAAATTTGAATGCTGCTATTGGTATTTTCAGTACATCTGATGGCTGAAAAATAAGTCTTGTCGGGGACTAAAAAAGATATAAAGCATATTGATGGTATAATACTCATTCGCTTGAAGAATAGACGATCTACGTTTTCCTTCTATAATTTAGTTTTGCAAGAAATCTGAGTGAGACAACGATTATACTATGAATAAAAAATATATTAGAATGTTATTCTATTCTACCAAAAGTACTAACTTGTCCACAAAGATCGTATATTGCAAAGGAATCGCAAACAACGTGTTGTCCATAATCAACAAGGAAAGCTGAACATGTCCCATCTTCCGTATTGAATTGACTAGCCAATGCTCTGAAAAAGTGTTTACTGATCTAGAAACCTTTTTTAAATTAATACAACAAAAAATGAAATAAAAATAACAGTAGTACATAAGGATCACCATTTTGAAATGAGAGTAGAGAAACTAGTGGAGTTAATAAGAGTTCAATATATTGAAAGTTTGAGAACAGACCATTTCAAGAAAAAAAATAAACAAATAAATGCGACCTTGTTTTACAATAACTTAGCAATTTAATGATCATCAAGAATAGCTTGGCAGAATGTCAATTTTTGCAAACAGTGATAATAGAACTCTATATTTAATTAAATCTGGTAATATTCCAATTTTCCATAAGATTCTGAGTTATCAAAACTTGAGTTATGGATATGCTTAAGAAAAAATGCGCAGCAGTAACGTAGAATTCCATTTATAAATTCCGTTATTGTAATCACTCGTTGGATCCCAACTATTTCAATTCTTTTGATAGTTTTAGCAGTAATAATAGTAGTAACTCCTTGCTGACAAATCTAGAAGCTTCTAATGTTTTGTCATATTTAATCTTAGCTTTCTCAAAATATCCTGTTGAAATTTAGCTACTGATTTCAAAGATGCAAAAAGAAATCATTAACCTGTAAAGCCGAGAGCGACTCACTCTAGGTAAATTACATGGTCGTGCAACGCGAGCAATGCACGCCACTTCAGGATAACCACAAAGATACATTGACGGCGATAAACGTTTTATTGGACGTACCACATACTGCAACAGATTGGTTTATAATTTTGTCAGAAATTTGGAAATAGGCAAAAAAAAAAAAACTATTATACAGACTAGAAATCCTCCCCTGAAAAGAATTTGTTTCCACATATATATATTTTTTTTATATATCTCAACAGACTAGCTAGTTTTTGTTTTATATTATGCTATAAATTCTTTTCAAAATCTGGTATAAATGTATCACAATTATTTTACCCAAAAAATTTCCAAACTTTCCAGCAATTAAAAGAAAAGAAATTAACCTGGTATAAAATAGCCAATTGTTCCGTATCTCTCATCAGGTAGATATTATCAGCTAATTTCTCGGTTACACGTGCAGCAAACTCTCGCCCTGACGTAATTTGAAAAGGCGCAAACATAAAATTATCATTTTTGTCTTTTTTTGCAACAACTGGCGAGGATGCACTCTTCATAACCATCTGCAATGTATTGTTTATTTACTCCACAAATCATAGAGTGAAAGATTAACTCATATGTGAACCACAAGTATAAAACCAAAAATGATATTTATAGATCCTGGCTAGAAAATTAAAAAAAAAAAAATAAGATAAAGCTATCACCAATCACTAAGTTCAAATAAATCTATAATGACGAATGGTTCAATGTTGATTGATAATGTGTGGCAATTCTAAAGTTAATAAATGCTTCAATTATTAGCTTTGAATTCTGGATGAGTGCATTTTAGATTAAAACAAATCGGATTATTAATCAGTTAATTAATAATTCTCAATACCTATGGCTAATCGACGTATCTGGCTTGTCAACTTTCGATGATAATTTATGTGCCTACCATAGTTGTCTAATTATAACTATGATTAACTAATTATAATTCTGTGCGAAAAAAAAAAATGATATAGCTAAACTAGCTAGTTTCATTTATTAGTTTTGAAAAATTGGAAAAGATACACATATCATAGGTGAGATCATAGGTGATGTGCAGAATATATATTTGAGAACAAAGAGAGCAGTCAATTTCTACTGTAAGAAGTGGTCATAAAAGTTTTCGCATAAAATAATGAAAAACAAAAAGTAAAATATGCAGTAATAGAAATGAATCAATGCTAAGTACTGATAGGATTGCCGGGAAGAAAACACCGCGGGTAGGACTGATGGGGAGAAAACACCGCGGATAGGAGTATCGGAGAGAAAACATCGTGGATAGGATTAGGAAGAGAAAACACCGAGAATAGAATTGGCGGAGAGAAAACATCGAGAATAGAATTGGTGGAGAGAAAACAACGAGAATAGAACTGGTGGAGAGAAAACACTGGATAACATTGACGAAGAAAACACACCGCGGATAGGAGTATCGGACAGAAAACACCGAGAATAGAAATGGCGGAGAAAAAACACCGAGACGAGAATAGAATTGGCGGAGAAAAAACACCGAGAATAGAATTGGCGGAGAAAAAATACCGAGAATAGAATTGGCGGAGAAAAAACACCGAGAATAGAATTGGCGGAGAAAAAACACCGAGAATAGAATTGGCGGAGAAAAAACACCGAGAATAGAATTGGCGGAGAAAAAATACCGAGAATAGAATTGGCGGAGAAAAAACACCGAGAATAGAATTGGCGGAGAAAAAATACCGAGAATAGAATTGGCGGAGAAAAAACACCGAGAATAGAATTGACGGAGAAAAAACACCGCGGACATAGGGTGAACGGATGATCTACAATCTGACCTAAAATTTACACAATTTTAGCTACGACCATTCCGGAGCAATCCTACGTGCAAAATGAAAACTCTTCAATGATGCGGCTCACAGCAGACGTTAAAAAAGGATTGCGCAAAATTTGCGTCTATCATAGAGGAGAGAATTAAATAATATTCTATTAAAGGAATGCGTTAACTAAACGTATCTAGTAACGTAACGTGAATTAGAACTAAACATAGTAATATAAACGATAACGTGACGTGAATAAAGTTGAATGCAGTAATGTAACCGATAATGTGACGTAAATAAAATTAAACGCAGTAATATAAACGACAACGTGACGTGAATAAAATTCGACGTAGTAATATAAAGACAACGTGACGTGAACAAAATTCGACGTAGTAATATGAAGATAACGTGACGTGAGTAAAATTGGACGTAGTGATATAAAGGCAACGTGACGTGAATAAAATTCGACGTAGTAATACAAAGATAACGTGACGTGAGTAAAATTGGATGTAGCAATATAAAGATAACGTGACGTGAATAAAATTCGACGTAGTAATATAAAGACAACGTGACGTGAATAAAATTCGACGTGGTAATATAAAGACAACGTGACGTGAATAAAATTCGACGTAGTAATACAAAGATAACGTGACGTGAATAAAATTCGACGTAGTAATACAAAGATAACGTGACGTGAGTAAAATTGGATGTAGCAATATAAAGATAACGTGACGTGAATAAAATTCGACGTAGTAATATAAAGACAACGTGATGTGAATAAAATTCGACGTAGTAATACAAAGATAACGTGACGTGAATAAAATTGGATGTAGCAATATAAAGATAACGTGACGTGAGTAAAATTGGATGTAGCAATATAAAGATAACGTGACGTAAGTAAAATTGGATGTAGCAATATAAAGATAACGTGACGTGAATAAAATTCGACGTAGTAATACAAAGATAACGTGACGTGAGTAAAATTGGATGTAGTAATATAAAGATAACGTGACGTGAATAAAATTGGATTTAGCAATATAAAGATAACGTGACGTGAATAAAATTCGACGTGGTAATACAAACGATAATAAAGGATGGAATGTTTCATTTGCAAATTTATTTATTTCTTAACTTTTGGTCAAATTTTTTTTCACGTCCGTCTTTTCACTTAAGTATATAGCTTTCTCTTTCTTTTTTTTTTTTTTGTTTTGGGAACAAAACTTTTTTATTCTTTTACTAATTATTATTACCTTTTGAAAATTGTAACATCAAAAGATGCATTCCCAATTTGTATAAAAGAATCGAAAAAATAAAAATAATAATGAAAATTCTGTTTCTTTTTCATTACGTAATTTAATTATTAATTTCAGTTCATTTTTATTAAATTATATTCAAATAAGAAAATAAAATTTTCAGTATTTATATGACTCAAAAATTAAAATAAAAGTTACATTAGAATTTGTTTAATTTTTTTTTTTCTATATGATCTAATTTTGAATAATTTTTATTTATTATTTTTTTTTTTCATTTTTTGAAAGTTGTAACTGCGAAAGTTAAAATTTAATTTTAACTTTTAACTTTAACAAATTTTAACTTTTCATTCTCTTTTAAAATTATTTTTAATATAAATTGTTATTAAATATTTTTCAATTTTGCAATAATAATATAACAAAATTGCTGTTTCATTTAAAATTTTCATCATTACTTTATCATTTTTTTCACTTTATTTATACCTCCGATAATTTATCATCAAATATTTCTCATTTACTTCAACAGCAATTTTCTCACGTCTTCACGTCTTCACGAGTGATACGTTTACTTTACTTTAGTGATAATATAAAACGAGTACTAAATATCTCATTTGGAAAAAAAATTAATTTTAAAAAACGATGAACGATAATTATTATCGAAATTTCTTCTATAAATGACCAATATTTTATCTGTTTTCATGTGTTAAATATTTTGTTAGCTTATTTAGCCATTTACATTGTAAAATGATAAGAATAGGAAAATATTTTTGATTTTGATTATTTCAAAAAAAAATTTTTTGAAACAAAAAAAATTTTCCATTCTCGAATAAAAACTAATTTTCTCTTCTAGCTTCATAATTTTACACTATTTTATATTTTTCTTCCAAATTTTTTTTTCCAATTTTTCATTCTCGAAGAAGTAATAGGTTCATATTTTTTTTTCTTTTCTAATAAAAAATTTGATATGGATCAAATGTTAGGCATATCATACAAAAGTTTTATCAATTGATAAAATAATTTGTTATATGAAACATTGTTGAAATGAATACAAATACAATTCAGGTTGAAAAAAAAAAAAAAAAAAAATCGAGAACAATTCAAGATCATAATAAGAAATTAATTTATTTTGATATAGATCAAATTAAAATTTTTTTCATATAGATCGAATTAAAATTTTTCGCGCAAATGTGGTGCACACAAACATTTGCGCACCATTTCTATTTAAATTTTTTTGATGCTATTGCGCAAAAATTTCTCCACTATTACATATATGAAAATATACTGATTTAATATTTGTGATAAATTTTTAATTTAATTTTAGAAGTTTAAATTATATTTTTTCCCATTTGTAATTTAATTACTCTTTTAAATTAATATAATTATAATGTCGATATTATTTTTATTTTTTAATTATAATGTCTAAATTATATTTTTTCCCATCTGTAATTTAATTACTCTTTTAAATTAATATAATTATAATGTTCATATTCCAGTATTAAATAAATAAAATTATACAAAAAAAAATTTTTTGTTTTTTTTGAAAGATTCTAAAATGTTATTTACTCATTTAATTGTTGTTTTACTAATTTACCAATAAATATTTATTCATTATTTTCCGGTATTTTCTGTTAAACATAATTGATGTGTCAATTCATTTAAATGTAAATAGAAGTGAAATTAATTAAAAAGATGGTATTGTTGTAATAGTAAAATTCATTTTTGATAATTCTTGAAAGAGTTCCGTATTTATGCTTGAATTTAATTCGGAAAATGGTAATGCAAATGGATCTGATGAATTTGAAATTGATTGATTGGATGATAACGGAAACGAATCAAGTAAATTTGATGCCGTAGAATTTAATTTTTCCACATTTGAAATCTGAAAAATGCATTTAGTTAAACAATAAAAAAAAAAAAACAAGAATTAAAAAATGTGTCTTAAAGCAATTTTTTTCAGGTTTATCAAAAAAGATGTCGAATACATCATCTAAACCGGAATTTTTATATAACCGGAAAACTAGCATCAACAATTTGCTAATTTAAAATTTCATTAAAATGACAGAGAAAAAATTACTTTACGGCCATAATGAGCTATGGTACTTTGAAATCCAACAGCAAATAGTAGCAGAATTATTGATAAAAGAGAAATTGAATTCTTTGCCATAATTTCTTGCTAAACTTAAAATGAATAATTCATTTATTATTATAAATTTTTTAAGAGTTAAATAAATTTTCCGTCAAAATTGTACTTTCATTTCATTGTTTATTTGTTTTAATTCAATTCTTTATGGCAATATTTAGTCTAAATTTTTTCATAACGTAAAATATCAATGAAATTTTCAAAAAAATTAAGTGATTTGATAAGATAAAATGTTAACTCTAACTGAAAAATAAATCATTTCATATTTAATTATCAGATTATTTGGGCAGAAATTCTTTTGATTTTATCATTTCATATCAAATAAATCTAATAAAGAAAATAGAAAAAAAATTTTTTTTTTT